CCCCCCCAGACTCGGACACACAGACCACGGGACAGGGAAGTAAACATTTTTTTCCACAATGGGTCAACTTTCGGCGGCCAAAGTCAAATGAGTTTTGGAGATTTGTCGATTTTTTGGGGGACGTACTGTATTTTTAGAGCCTTTGTGAGATGTTTTAAAATGAAACAGGAAGTTGGGAAGTTTCTGCCCCTGGCGCCCGCCATGCTTCCCAAACTCCGCTGAGAGAGGCGTGTGTGGAGAAACGAGAGGGTGTCAACCGTTTGTGGCAGGGTGGGCAGTTTAGGCCCCGACATTGTTTAATGTAACAGATATTTCAAATAATTAGTGGGCATTTCACAAAGGCTCTCCTCATTATGGAATTCAGGCAGAAGGATCGGTGCCACTGGAGAGAAATTGAGGAAAGGTTTAGTTTACCCTGGTTCTTTTGTTGTGGGACAGATTCCTTGCCGGGTTAAATTTCAGAGGAGAATATGTTAGCACAGGCACACTGGGCAGAACCATTTGGGAACGTTAAATTTTCAAAACGTGTGGAAGCAGGAAAGAAATAGTCAAAGCAGGGCCTCAGACTTAAGAGCTCTCTCATAAGTTATTTTGGACGTGTGCCACCTCCATCCTGACCATTTATTCTAAAATATGTTTCACAGTTATTTAAGTTTGTTTGTATTATTTGCTTCCAACACCGATTAAAAAAAGAAAGAGTTATTAGTTAGAAAATGAGCATGTGAGGTTTGATTAGAGTTATTTATTGATACTTTACAATACAATCATAAAACTGTCGGACAATGCATTCATCACCAAAGAACAGAGCAACACAGAGACACCCTCAGCCCCCCGCATCAGGTGAGATGATGACAAATGCTGAAATAATTTAAATAAATACAACAATCCGAGTAGCTTTAGTGGTCGCGGCCGGGATCTGCCGACTCGGGCCTGTGAGGGCCGGGGCCCAGGTACTGTTCGAACTCGCTGCGGTCCAGGTCGTAAAGCATGTCCAGCTGAGCCTGCTCCAGGTACAAGTCCAGGGAGGCCCCGGGGGGGCCCTGCTGGACCCCGAGGCCCCCTGGATCCCTCTGATCCAGGAAAGGCTGGGTCTGGGCGGAGAACCCGTAATACGCCTGGGGCTCCATCTGGTACGGCGGGGGGTTCGGGTACCCGCCGGAGAAAGGGTCTCCAGAAACTTTAGGGTTCGGGTACCCGGCCTGTAGAGGAGCGTGCTGGAAATCGGGCAGGCTGTGGAATGGCTGCGGCTGGTTCTGGAGCAGGTACGTGAGGTTGTAGGGCACCCTGAAGCCCGAGGGGCAGAGCTGGGGGGGGGGCGGCGTCGGGCATCTGGGGCCTGGAGCTCTTCTTCAGCTGCTTCCTCCTCCGCGGCCGGTACTTGTAGTCGGGGTAGTCGATGGTGTGCTGGACCCTCAGGCGCTCGGCCTCCTGCATGTAGGGGCGCTTCTCAGCCAAAGACATGGCCTTCCAGGTCTTTCCTGTAGTACAACAGTCCACATTGATTGGATTGGCATTGGTAAAACTGGCCTTTGCCACTATTTGAAACTAAAGACAAATACAAATGGGGGAAATAAGTATTTGACCCCTTGCTGATTTTCCAGGTTTGCCCACTTACAAAGAATGCTTATTTTTCCTCATCAGATGGTTATCAATTTTTTATAAATTCATATGATGTGATTTTCTGGAATTTTGTTTGGGATTCTGTCTTTCACTGTTAGAATGTACATATGATTAAAGTTATAGATCGTTCCATTCTTTGTAAGTGGGCAAACCGGGAAAATCAGCAAGGGGTCAAATACTTATTTCCCCCACTGTAGCCTGGAAGCTAAGAGAAGAGGTGGAAACTGACTGAGTTCAAATAAATACAGTGATTGGATGATTTCTTAAGTCTGAGAAGACAGTAGGGGAAGAAAAATTAATCATAGCCTATTTATCTTAAAGAATAACGAGTTAAATGGTGTTATTACCGAGGATTTTGCTCAGATCCGTGTTCTCCAGGTCCGGGTTGAGCTGCGCCAGCCTCCTGCGCTCCTCTTTGGTCCAGATGATGAAGGCGTTCAGGGGCCTCCGGACCCTCTGCTGGGCCGGGCCGGACTTGGCCTCTGGACTGGCGCAGCTGGAGTCCGAGTGGACGGAGAGCGGGCTGGAGGGCCCCGAGCACGGGGATCTCACCTCGCCCCTCCGGGCCCCGGGTCCAGAATCCTCGCTCTCGTAGGAGTTTGCGCAGAGCTCGAAGTGGCTGAAACGCATGGTAAATCACGTTTGGCGTGTTTTTTTTGTGGGGGGGGCTAGGTCGTAGGCCGCTGTCATCCTCCTGTGTGATGCGGGAGTGACGGATTTAAGCCATGGCTCCACCAATGGGAGCGCAGGGAGGAGTGGATTTAACGTGTGAACGCCAGGTGTGTGATAGGCCTATCTGACACCCCAATCAACGATCCCACCAAACTTCAGATGGGAGTTTTTATGTCTGTAATAAACTTAAAGAAGTGGGTTGCTGTGCAGACATGAAAGACACACTTTCAGCCTGAATTAAACCATTAAAAAAAATCAGATTTACGCACTCAGAATGTGGACGCTTGGTGGCCCGAAAAGCTTTTGAGGCCGGTCTATTACGACATTACTTACAGGTAATCTATAATTAAGCCCTATGATAAATGTTGCCTTGTCCAAAACATTAAAGTTTTAAACAAAAACGTGTATTTCCCCCCCACATTTATATACAGTTTCATGCAGTTTCATACTGTTTCAAACTATACAGGCTTCTCTCGGACACTCATGGGGGGAAATCCAAGTTTTCCAGCACGTAGTTCTGGTTACTAATTACGTTGTGCCTCTTAACACTTATCAGTCATCTACTGTCATTTATCAGAGCAGATTTTACAGGTCTGGAGTAAACATGATCAAGGCGTTTTACTATTGCTGCGCACACAAGTATTTGCGGAAGAGGAAAATAAATACTCTGGTGGAAATTATAGGTCATATTTTTGTGGCTTTTTAAACCTTTAAAAGAAAATATGACGTATTCATTTCTGCCAGACACATTTGTTACAGTTACCCCTCACGAAAAACACAGCAAATGTATTGAAAACACTGAGTTTATGTTATTAAAATTATGTTTACTTATAAGAGGAAAAGGTGAAAAACAGTGCAAAAATCTGCAGGTAATTTTATCAGGCCTGATAAAGACATAATTGTCCATTTTTTATTTATTTCTGCCACAACATCTTCTCATCATTCAGCAGGATTCAGATTCAGGTAATAAATCAGCAGTGGGAAATTAACTGGAGCAACTCGGATCAAATAAGATCATCGAGATTACGTTTGGTGTCATTTTCCTTCGTTTAGAAAACCTGGATGCATTTCTTTTTAACAATAAATATGGTTTAATAACATATTCTGAGGCCCAGTGCGTATTGAACCAATAAAATAACGAAAGGCTCCGTCCTGAGGAGCGAGCTGGGCCTGCACCTGCAGAGGGGCTTTAAAACTGCAAAATGCCCCTCTGGTCCAGTGCAACTGAGGGGTTCATTCACAAATAAATGAAAGACGGCCATCCCGGTGGTTTATTCCACAATATACATGTTGTTTTGAACGCAGCTCATTACTCAGACAATGGAGCAGCGAGCCCCGTGGTGCGCAACTCCAAATCAAAGGAGATAACCCCGAAATGAAATTGTGTGCGTGTGTGTGTTCGTGTGTGTGTGTTGGCCCTGCAGAAAAAAGATGGTCCAAATACAGGTGAGTATCTTGATGAAAAGTTGGATCAATACAGTGATTAGGGAGTTGTTTAGAGTTAAGAAGGCTCTAACAATTAAGATGTTGGGTCATTTTTAGAAGAGTATTCTCCCCCCAAATAAACAATGGCCGTCTACTGTTTGTTCGGATTTGATGAGGGTTGGTGTGGGTGTGATTGGTTCACGCGTTGTCATGAATTAAAGGCCGAATCCACATCCGCGGTGTGAAACGGGACGCGCGCTCCAACGCGCGGTGAGAAAAGCTCTAATGGATTGAATCAATCATCTTGAACGACGCAGCGTGAATACAACAACGATGGTTTCGGCCCGACTCCCTTTGAATTCTTCCCCTTTGAGACGCCTGCACGTTGGACAGTCTAGCAGAAAAAAGGTTACACGGAAGCACTTAAATGCCCCACGTGCACTTAAATGATTCCTGTGCGTCTTTAACTTTGTAATGAACACCTAATCCGCAGGAGGCTTGTGGTGGTATCAGGCTATTGTCTCCCAGCCAAACAAAGCCCCGCGGATCAATGATTTGTGAATGGGGATTGTTCTCCATGCTTTCTGATCTTTTCTGATCACAATGCGCCATTGTACTGGACAGAACTCATATAGGGGACGGTCCAGGCCCTGTCCACTTTGGGTCAGGGAGGTAAAGCGGTGCGGTCGGGGACCTGGAGGAGCTCATTTCAGCGTCATTTCTCTGGATATCCGGAAGCTTTGGACAGAGTTTGGACCCAAACTTGGCCTCCCAGAGGCCTGCTGCATTTTTTGGATGGCTGTTTAGCTCTAAACGAGGACATTGACGTCTCCTTGCGATTGTATTTTGGCGTTTTGGATACCCAAACTAAGATGAACCGGAGGATTTACTGTCCCGAAGACAGCTTTTGCAGATGGCCACAGGAGGAGAGATGTGGAAAAGTTCAAAGGAGCAAAACGGGAGCCATATCTTGGCCTTTGATGGGGAGGCACTGTATTCCAACACGCCGACTTTTCCCTTACAGTGGCTCGTCCATAAAGTCCCGCATTGTATGGGCACAGCAGGCCGGCATCAGGACTCAGACGCCATTCTATGCGGCGGGCGGCCTCCGCCTCCACGTCCCGGCCTCAGCCGGCCTCTACGTGGGGCCTGCTGGGAGGATTACAAGCCCCCCTGGTGTAGACGGGCTAAACGCGGCCTCATTAGGGCAACCCCCCCCTCTGTCAATAACTGTGATCATTCCAAATCTGTAAAGTGGTTTGTTATGCAATAAAATGCCAAAGAAACTTAAAGCCTCTGAGTGAGTTTACTTTACCCTTATTGTTTTTTTTTTCTTTAAATATATGTAAAGTGAATTTCTGAGTGTTTGACAAGCAATACACAAAAGTTAGCTTGGCCATTTTTGACTTTGTGAAAATGTATTGAACCATTTAAAACTCAAACATGCCTCAAAAAGGAAAAATTGTTCATTAAAACAGACTCACTGATGTACAGTATATGCCATAAATGGCCTGAAATCAACCATATGATTAAAGTTCAAAAGGGGAAGAACTTTAAAATGTTAACATTTCCTGATGTTGGAACACTTTTTTTCTTTTATGGCAAGTTTAAATGTAACTAATCGAATATAAAGTCTATGAAATAACCTTTAGCTGAATACTGCATTCTTGTATCTACCGACCTGCACTTTTCTGCTGAATATTCTGATTCACCAAAGCTTCCAGCCATCAATCATCAGTCTAGCTCCTTTCCTCTTGAGCAGCCATCAGACTGCTTTTCTAATTTTATTTCATTTGTCTCCCGTGCTGGCCTGCTTGGGCCGAGGCCGGCTAATGCGAATACAGCGCCATTCTTTGCAAATTAGGAATTGTATTCTGCGCTGATAAGAGTCTTATCTGAGCTCGGAGTAAAAGTCTTTGAGCGTCTACACGCGTTCTGAGATGCCTTCAGGTTCCCCGCGACTCACCGGGCTCTTGAGTTTTGATCCCAGACCTCCGCCACACTTGGTCTGTAATTAACTCTAATTATTAACGGGAACCTGACTGAGACCTGTGAGACAACGCCGTGATATCTGTGTGTCCTAAACGGCTCGTTGGGGGCAAACCACCCGCCCTGCTCAGCACTCTGCACTGGTTAATTAAAACGTGTGAACTGGTTAGACTCAGACATTAGATTATTTGGAGCACAAACCACAGACATATTACCGGCCTGAGACACACACACACACACACAGGCCGACAGATCTTTGAAGCCCCGTCGAATTGATGATTCCGTTTCTCTCCTCCTTTCATGCGGGGCTGCTCAGGCCCGGGTCACTCCTTCTCCTCCTCTCCGCTGCTCATTTGAGACCTGATCCAAACTCCAAAAGGATCTGCTGCTTTGAAGATAAGCGCGGCGGTTCTGCCATAAACAATGATTGTGCTGTTTCTTTCCTGTGGCGTGATTTATTTAAAGTATTATGCAGTAAGGATTTGGGCTGGTTTTCCTGGCAGGGCCGGCTGTGCATGTATCCACTACTTGTGAAGTTTATTGGATACTTGAGATTCAGGAAAACACTCGAGGGGGCCGCGAGCAAAGTCATCAAAGTGAAACCTTTGACACAGAGGGGTAACTCATTTTGAGATGAAACAGAACCGAGAAATCCACCCCAAAAATGAAGGATTCAAAATAATAATTATTCAAATCTAATTTGACTTATGAAACAAAAAAAACAAAACATTTTCTTTTCCGTCCACTGCAAAAATCGCCTCTCAAACGTGGAAGAGGGGATTTTATAGAAACACAATGCTGGGGGTCTTGCGTGTGCGCAAACACACAAACATATGCTTCCTTTGATAAAGTGTTTTTATACCAGCAGAAAATTCTATGGCCGCGTCTCTTTAGACAATATCTGCGCAAAATACCAAGCTATTCATAGAGTGTGCCATTTGGCCTTAGAAAAAACAAAACAAACTCTGCCATGGTGGAAGGCTTCATTTACACAAGAGCAATTATCCAGTCAGACCTTTCTATGTTCCCATACGCGTGTTGGTTTAGCATTAATTCAGAAAAAATTAGACTCTACAACAAATCAAAGTGTATGAAAGGCACAATGTGCCAAATTCAACATCAATTAGACCGGGAAAATGTATAATTTGATCAAACATTTGACACATTTAAGAGATTTAAGCCCATTTAAGTCGGAAAAGTGTTTTCTTTGTGACTGAAGTCCAACAGGGGTGGTGTGTGTTTGTGTCCCTGTGACTGAGGGGGGGGGGGTGGGGGGGGAGTGGATCTTTTGAACGTCCACACCAGGATACAGCTGCCTATGACTAATTTCAAACTCCCCTTCTAGGGCCCTATACAACCCATTTCACAAGTAACACACATCGCCAGGCATCTGTTTCCTGTTTTCATTCTTTGAGTTATCTTATTTTCCTCATTTCCCCCTCACCTGTTACAGTTCACGTTCCTTCCATCATGCAGCACGGGCCAGTTGTGCTCGGACACGAGGCTGTCCAGCGTCACTCAGGAACACTCATGAAAGCGCCATAAAACACACAACAAGATCTGCATGAAACACCTTGTACCGCAATACAATTGAAACAGAGTATATGTTTTTTTTTAGGATTTAGTTTAATGGTAATACATCCAGGGATGTTTTTCCATATAAAAGAGCCTAGTTGACACGCAAACTTCTGCATTTTTCTCGCTTAATTCTGTACACAAACTCCTACGAACTGTAGTATTTCAGCAGTTTCTCATCAGTTGGTTTGAGGATTTTCTTCTCGGGCATGTTCACCACCCATCCTGGAGAGAGGCCAAAGAAGATCTGTCGAACATCCTTCCTCATGGCCAGCATGTGATATAGTTCGTCCTTTGAAATGTCCGGCAGCACGTAGCCGTACTTCTGTGCCAGGGCCAGCCGGGCCTGCTGGATTTTCTCCGGATCTGCTAGGTAACCCCGGTTTTCGGCACCTCTGTAGTACGGGACCATGTCCTCCCCGGGGAGCATCCGCTTCGGGATTGGCTGCCCACGCATGAAGAACGGGACGGGCTTGATGAGGATTCCTGCAAACATGAGGGAGCAACTCTGAGCCCTCCATCCAGAAAACAGTGACACAAACAGAGTGGGACGGTTTTTGTAGTTACCTAGACTGATGGGGTCGTAGAAAGTGGTGGTGATGACCCCTCCGTTCCTCTCTATAGCAGCTATGGCCCCTTCGGACGCTCTCTGAACCTCTATGTTGATCTTTGCCGCAAAAATATCTGCGCCCTTTGAAGAACAAACATACGAATTTCGAATCAGGACTGGATGAAAACAGGGGTCAACCACAGCCTGCTGGTCTGTGTCGGTCAGTGACAGGGCAGGCGTGTGGCGCCACCTGCTGGTCAGACGTCATCCCTTGCAATTAAGACTTCCTTAAACCTTTAACTGGGCTAACGAATCAAGTCATTTTTCTATCACTATCAATGTTTCTTTGTAGCGATGAACAAGGATGAAAAGAAGAACTTTGACTTTTCCTGGAAAGATCCTGTTTAAAGCAATCTGTTAGGACACTAAAGAAGACCGTTTTAAATTTCATTTGCTCCATAAAAAAACATTTAAACTAAAAAAAACAATTCAGGGGTTAAGGCATGTGAAACTGGTGAATGTAAAGCACCTAACCTGATGAAGAAGTTTGGGAAATTCCTCACCAAAAAGATGAGCGTTAATGTTTTCACAACATAAAAAAAAAGGAACTGGCATCATCTTTGTGGCTTCTCAGACCTTTACTGAACCCAGTTATAGTTTTGTTGTTGATTTTTTCTTTTTTAATGTAAATCTGTCAATGAAAACCTTAACTTTTCAGCCACATGAGAAACATTACATAAAACCTTTAAAAAAAGCCCGTCCACTCAATTTAGGCAGCTTTGATTTACACAAAGTGTAACTTGCGAGCACACAGCTATTTTTGTTTTCTAACTTTATGAATAAGAGGCGTTTTTTTAAGTGCAGACATCCCTCTAATCAGGCGTGCTGAGTGCAGTTACCTCATCGACCAGCTGGACTCCATAGTCTCTTTTTAAAGGCTGGACCGTTACTCCTCTGCCATTGACAAGCTGGGTCAGGTCTATGGGCTGGGTGGGGTCTACCCGGCCCAGATCGATCAAGTACTGGAGTCGTTTCAGGGACAGAGGCTGGTATTGTGGACGCCGACTGAAGAGAAACAATAAAAAGATTAAACAAATTAATACAACCCATGGTGCATATTACAGAAGACACTGTTAACTTAAGGGAGCCAGCAAAGTCTGCAAAAGCTGATGCTGGAGAATAAATGCTGAAAATCTTTGTCATCTATAGCTTTAATGTACCTGAATACTGCAGCCATCAACCCAATATTGGCCAAAATATTATTCAAGTCAAGCGTAAAGTGCATTTGTTTGCAGTCATTTGTAACAGCATCAACAGGATATCTTAAAATCCCAGATTGTTTGCTTATATTACATCAGTGGTTTAACATTTGACACAAAAAAACACGTTGAAATGTGGAGAACATCACAACAAGTTTGCACCTGTGTCCTTCGTTGAAGCCATATTTTGGGATGGCCAGATAAAAGGGGGTCTGACCCCCCTCAAACCCAAGCCGGGGACGGGTTCCTCTCTGCCGCTCTCCTTTGTGACCTCGGCCGCTTCTGTTGCCTCCGTGCTGTCCTCTGCCCCGTCGTTTACCCTGTCAGATAACGATATTGAACACATCATCTTATGAGCTACCATTGAGCTGCACTTGCTAGCTAGGAGCTGTTAGCTAAAGACGGCGCTAACAATGGCGACGTGTTACAATTACCAGCTTCTTGGCTCCAGGCTCAGGCCGAAGGTTTGCTAAACTAATCCGCGGAAGACTCTTCAAAACCTCCAACGCTTTATCCCCTGGCTTTTTAGGGAAAGACATGTTTCTGCTGCTCACATGTCAAAATTAGCAAACCAAGGACACACACGTCACGTGACCAGAGGACAGCGGAAGTACTTGCTGGTGGCTCTTTTCAAACTAAAAACACAAAAAGCAAAACGTACTACGAGTATGACATAATTTAACAAGATATTATGAAAGCAAAACAGGCTTGTTCAAAACATAACCCAATTTTAGGTCAAACTTAAAAAAAAAAAAGTTGATAAAAAGATTATAAGACTATGATTTAATAGTAGCCACACGTGCAAAAATAAAAGAAATACAAAATCATAACAGGGCTCTTTTTCCACAATGTACTCAACCGAGCACCACATCAATGTTATAATCAATCCTTTAAAAGTCAAGAAAATAAAGAACATTTAAAGGGCTTATTCAAAAGAGTTACGTAGTATCTCTGTTTATATTTTCTAATACTACACATAACACAGTAATTATGTTTGGCTGCAACTCTCGAGGATTTAACTGTCCTTTTACCAAGTCGTATTGACATTTAAGAGAGCCAATCAGCGACTGGCATCAGTGAAGGTCCGCTAATGAAAGGTCGTTACGTCACAGTAGGGGCGGGACTTAGAGGCCTGTAGCTGCAGCTGGCGAGCGGCGTGTTAGCGGTTACCGTCAGCCGGTGTTACGTGGTAAGAGATTTAAACTTTCTAGAAGAAATTCACGATTCCTATCGACAACAGGAGAAGGTGACGTTTACACCAGCGTCGGTAGACATTTGTCCACGAGAAGCTTTGTATTGGACGGCCTTAACTCCAGTCCGGACGCATATTTGTTTTAAAAATTGTGTTTGAGTGCTAACGTTTCTGTGCATATCAGCTGCCGTAGCGCTGTATGTGCGGCAACAACATGTCAGCGCCCTTACCTGCCATTGTGCCTGCTGCCCGGAAAGCCACTGCGGCGGTGAGTTACCAAGACACATAGGAGCAGAAATGTCCTGCTCAAAAAAAAAAAAAAAAGTAAATGCAAGCTACCAGAATTCTGACATCTGTGAGCCTCTACCTTGATTGTTTTGCAGGTCATATTCCTACACGGCCTTGGTGACACCGGGTACGTGAACGCATCTTGTTTTGTTTTCGTCGCCTTTGGTGTAGAATTATTAGTCTTCATTAGTTTGAAAGGCTGTTTTTCCGGTTTTAAGGCCGTGTGTGTGTGTGTCACAGGCATGGCTGGGCAGAGGCTTTTGCAGGCATCAGAATTCCACATGTGAAATACATCTGTCCACACGCGTGAGTATTTATAATCTAATATAATATGATATACTGCTGGAACGGAAGTCCAGGGTTGATGTCCAGCAACTAAAGGCCTTGACTTTAATGGCCTTGACTAGTGAAAATATATCTGACCTGTCGTCTCTCTACTTTGTTTTCAGCCCCACCATGCCTGTTTCTCTAAACATGAGGATGTCCATGCCTTCTTGGTGAGTGTCAAAATTCCCGTGCTTATTTCTGAACACTGAGTCTGCCCCATGTTCTTCTCTAAATGAAAATCCCACCCATTTAACCGCTTATAGGTTTGACATTTACGGGTTGAGCCCAGACGCCAATGAGGATGAGGCCGGTATCAAAAGGGCTTCTGAAAACAGTGAGTCTTTGAAATGTTGCACGGATGTTTTGTTTTCAGTGCGACTTGACTTGACAAAGTTTCCCCTCTGGTCTCGCGTTTCAGTTAAAGCCTTGATAGATCAAGAGGTAAAGAACGGGATACCCTCACACAGAATTATCCTGGGTGGGTTTTCACAGGTAGGCGTGACATGTTTGCTGAGTGTTCGCCGGCTTTTGCCAAATCTAAATTAAGATTATGCAAACATCCAACTGTACTTATGAGTGCCTGTTTTTATTGTTTGTTTTTCTAATAGTCTTAACATCACTTAACTGGAGGCATCCTTTCCACAAGTATTTTTTAACATTTCCTAGTAGAAACCCTAAAAATGGAGAGATTTTGTTGTAGGAGCTGAAAGAAAATTTCACTTAGAAACTAGAATTGTATGCTTACATCACAAATGTTGATTTTATGACACTTTGAAGTTATGTATAGTAAAACAAATTACTTGGATTTACAGAAGTTGAACATCTCCAGATGTGTGTTGAATGAGGGTTTTACAGTGGATAGATAGATAAAACTGTGGAGTTACAGGAGTCCTCCACAGATTAGTTGCTTCTAATGAGCTGTTAATTTCACGACTTAATGTTTGGTTTGTTGGTTTGTTTTTCCAGGGCGGAGCGTTGTCTCTCTACACAGCTTTGACGACTCAGCAGAAGCTCGCCGGCGTGGTCGCTCTAAGCTGCTGGCTCCCCCTCCGTAAATCCTTTCCTCAGGTAACATGGAGAAAAAGACTTTAGATAAAGGTAACATCAATTTCAGCGAAGCAGACAAAACGCCCGCCGTGAAGTTCCTCATTTTTCTCAACCGAAATACCTTCGGATGGGATTTCATCGTAGGGGATATCCCACATCCAGCTCTTAATCTGTCATAATCAGATATGAAAAGTAATCCTAATCTCTTCTATTTTCAGGCGGCTGCTAATAGCGTTAACAAGGACATGCACGTCCTGCAGTGCCACGGGGATGCCGACCCCCTGGTCCCCTTTATGTTCGGCACCCAGACGGCGGAGAGGATGAAGAGCCTCATCAATCCGGCAAATATCACCTTCAAGTCGTACCGGGGTCTACCTCACAGTGCCTGCCCAGAGGTCAGAGTTCAGCCCCACTCCCGTGCCCCAGTTCTCATTCCACCTGAGTTACGGTCTGCTTTATTATTTTGTACCTTTGTAGGAAATGGTGGATATTAAGCGGTTTATAGAGAAGCAGCTTCCTGCCATCAGAGACGAGTGAACCCCCGAGCGTGCGCTCATCCGTTCGGCTCTATCGGGAGTCCACCAGACCTGGGGGACACTAACTGGACAATAAATCCACGCTGCTATTTCATAGATTCAGACAGGACGGCGCCAAGACTGAGGAGAAGCCGCTTGCCGACGGGAAAACAGGCACAACCCCTCAGTCTCACAGTAGAGTGACAGTATTTGCTTGATTGAGAGGCCACTCACCATTGAGACAAGCCATTTTTTTTGCAGGAAACTTGTGTATTATAACACCTAGGGCTATACTTTATAGTTTATTACCCACTATCTCACAATAAATGAGCGGTTGTTAAATTATTTTTTTTCCGCATTAATGTAGCTGATCTATTTTAGTTCACATTTACCAGTGACCATCTCATTTAATTTTGCGATTTTTATCCTACAAAATTGCCAAAAGAAATGTTTGCTCCGGATCCTTAAATGGAAGTATTTGTTTATTTTTCAGTTTTAACTTTATATATTATGTGAAACAATTTTAGATTGTTATAAATAAAAATCAAATGTGAAGGCCTCTGTAGTGCCTGACGCATATTGTATAAAAAAAAAACAACTGGAAAATTCAGTTTTTAGTCAGACTTATTCTTAAAATATAATTATCATGAATCCCAACCAACAACAAGTGTGAACACTTTGGCAGCTGAGATGCGAAATCATTGAGTAAACTGTGAATTTTAACGAAAGAAAATCCAGCAAAAACATTTGATTGTGCTTTATTTAATTTGTGAGAATTCAAATTGGCATTTTGCACAAATTCCCTTTTTAAATACACAAATATATCAGTGGTCATGGTCATGTATTCAGTGTTTTCTTCCCTGTTTATTTGAAATTAAATATAACTAAGATCACAGTATTGAAACAAACAGACAAGGTCAATTTCTGGGTATCAGCTCAGGTTTCTTTGTAAAGAGCTGAAAGCACCAACATGTGAAGTCGCTGTCGCACCGTTCGTGTTAGACCAAAGGTGCGTGTGTTGAAGATATTATTCCAAGGCACTTTCCTTCTTAAGTTACAGTTAAATAAAACCTACTAGTTTCTACAAGAACTGGATATGCATTAAGGCTCACAATATACCTAAATACAAATGCAGTGCTCACAGATACATGCTTTTCCTCATTTAAACAAGGTAGAAAAGTGCAATGTCAAGCGCTAGGGAATATATATATATATGTGTGTGTATATATTTATATATATATATATAAAAATATATGTTTTTTTTTTAAACAAGTACAGTAACTGATGCTGAACCTAGCGTTTGTTCTCGTTTGCTCTGAGGCTTTTGGTAAGCTAATGGTGGGTGAATAAACATCAGTTACGACTGGATAAAGACTGAATCTAAGTAGTGTTCAACATCCTGTCTGTCTGTCCCTAAGTGGCGAGAGTCCTACGTGGAACACAAAAAACTCCTCTGGTGTGGGATGCATGCGTCAGGAAGGTTAGCCGCGCGGCGGCGGAGAGTCTATGGCTCGGGGGGGGGGCTCCTCCAGGCTCTTGAGCAGGTCCGTGTAGGCCGTGGAGTTGATGTAGCGCGGGTACGAGTCTCTCTGCATCAGCGTGTAGATCTGCTGCTGGGCGTCCTCGAAGGTGTGCGAGGTGGGCTCCAGCATGTTGCGGTTGATCACTTCCCGCACGCGGGAATCTAAACTGACCTGGAGAGGAGGGGAAAGCAGAGGTGAAAAACACATCAAATATCCTTTTTTTTGTATTCTTTAACAAAAACATTAAACATTTTTTGACAAAATTCAGCTTTTTGATGGGCCTTTTTGAAAATGTATTATTTCAACCAGCTGCATCCTAATCTTTAGTCTGTCTTAACAGGAAATGAGGCAATCCAGACTTACTTGAGTGTATCCACTAAAGTGGTGTCATATCAATGTGTGATGGCTCAGCAGTAAATCTGAGAGAAAAGGCGTTCTGGCTCAAGATTCTTCCCTTTAAACGTTAAACCTCCCGTCTGCTAAAGTAAGTTTCCCCTTTTTTTTACCCTTCATTCTAATCATTGCCTCTTTTTAATGCCAACATGTCAGTTTTTGGCTTTGGAATGGTGGATCTCTGCCTCTGTCCCATCCTTGAGTTGGGCTTAATTCACATTAAGTGACTTGAACAGTGATTTAATCTGTTATAACATCAGAATTCATTAGAAGAAAATTGACGCTTTTTAATCACCGCTCCTGATAGATTGTGCCAACCAACAAACCAAACATAATGAGAAACGGCAACTTTACTGGTTGTCTGTCTCTAGAAGACTGACTATTACTGAAGACTGACTGAGTAATGCAACACCCAATTTATAACCTGGATTATGTAAACCTGCCTACAGGCAGCCCGGTTTTGTTACCTCAATGGCTGGTGGCCACCAAAATGTTTTCCACTTTCCATTTTTGGCTTTAAACCAAAACATGGAATACATGACCTGCAGAACTGAAGGGAGAGTCAAACTGGGTCCTTTTTAAACATAAACTTAAAGACTTTTTATTGAGAGGTCAGACATGTGAACATTAATAATCTACTGACCTGATCTTGTATCTGTGATGTTTTAGCGTGTAATTTGTTCTGTTGGGCCTTGTGTACAGTCACTGTGTTTTGTGTTAAAAGCCTAACTGGGGACAGGCATTGAGAATTGGCCTTAGCTAAAATATTGTAGTGTGTGACATGTTTTATGAAACATACTTGTCCCTATCAAATAAACGAATAAATGAATAAATAAATAAATAAATAAATAAATAAATAAATAAATAAATAAATAAATAAATAAATAAATAAATAAATAAATAAAATAAATAATGAATAAATAAATAAATAAATAAATAAATAAATAATGCAACGGATCAAAAATAATGACACATCTAATCATGATGAATATTTCCCAAAAGTGTCTTTTTTTTTTTTCAAAATCAATTAATATTGTAGGCTTATGGAACTTTTTTTTCTTTACCCAGACCAACTAAATTTTTCAATTTTCCTCAGCATTTGAATAGTTCACTTCAGAATTTCCTATTTTATTCAGTGACTTCAGATCGTCTTTTTATTCTCACCTCTTTCGGGGACAGGATGGAGATGAAGTCCTCGTATATTTGCCGGACTTTCTCCTCGACCACGGTCTTGTTGGTCTCCTTCTTGAGCTCCTCGCAGGCCAGCCAGAACATCATGTTCTCCTCGCTGAACTCCGTCCTCAGGAACTGCCTGAAGCAGCCCCGCCCGGCCGCGCTCTTCATCACCCTCTCAAACGACACCGCCCAGGAGCGGGCCTCCTCCAGAGTGGGCTTCGGACTGGAAGACAAAATAAGGTCTGTTTGTTTTCCCACGATGACGGTAAAGTCTCTGGTCTCATGGACGGGTGGGTTCATACCTTTCCTCACAGTTGGGGGTTCCCTCCGGTCTGGGCTCAAAAGGCGGTCTCTGAACGGTTTCGTCTTCACTCCTCACAGTCAAACTGGAGAAAAAAATAGTTTCCATCGATCATCAGCTTTTTTAAAAATACCTCGTTATCAAAGCTTTTTCGTAATTAAATCTGACCCCATTGCCCCTTTATATTCAAGTCAAGTCAAGTAGGCTTTATTGTAAAATTCAGTTTCTTGCCCTCCCGTGCAGACATAGACATAAATTAGATAAGTTAGATAAATTAGACATATAATAAGAAAATGATGTGATATAATAAATAAAAAAGTGATCAATTGTAATGTGCAATATTTACAATACAGTCATTCAAGTCATCATGTCATTATATCAGTTTATCATATGACCATAGAAATCTCGACTCTTTTGTGTTTTTAGGTTTTACATTAAAACCTGCAAGCATAAACTGCATAATTGGCGGTTTCAGTTCACTTCAATTGAAAGTTCTCATACCAAACTGTGGAAAAAAAACTTTACCCCAGGCTGCTGCAACAAAATGGTGTCGCAACAATGTCTAAAGATGTTTTTAACATAAAGATTTAAACAGATTTCACATAAATACTTAAGGGGTCACAGACGAAATGCCAAAGTTGCCATGACCACACAACTCAATGCACAAAAGCTAATTATGTATCATCTGAACTGCATTCAAACAATCGTATAAATCTTTTTTTTTTTTTTTTTTTCCCTTGTCGTGTTTGGCATTATAGCAACAGAATTGTAATCTGAGTGCCGTGCTGTGCCCGACACTTTTGCTTTGCCAAGGGAGGCCTGTCAGGGTGAGAACCCTCCCAATAAATCGTATAAACAATCGTATAAATCTGATGCTGTGCCATGATAGCAGGAGCTCATCTGAAATGACAGATCACCTACAACAGATCCAGGCCGATCCACTGGGAGGGCCTGCGTAAATAGTAAAGTGTGTCAACTGGCTTACTCATCCTGCGGGCCTCCCTCAGTGTAATTAAAATGTCCCCCAGTACCTGAAGGAGCAGCTGGCTGAAGACTAATTGGTTCAGGTGAGAGTCCACCGCCAGCCACCCCCCATCTGGGGACGTGATTACAGGGAATTCACACACACACACACACACACTCACGCAGAGACAAAATGTATTACCCGTGCCCAGAGGAGCGAATTAACATGGCCGCCTTTTGCAACCGTACCGGTCGGATGTGCTCAGAGAAGAGCAAGTCAACCGTTTCTAATTCCAAAACATGTTTAAAACCCCCCGGGGCCCGGGTCCAGTGAGAGGTTCTGTTGTTGTGGGCCGAGGGTGTGGGCTATAGTGTGTTGTTGAATGGGCCAAAAAACAAAAAAACTAAAGGTGGGTGCATCTGTGACCATGATAAACTCTTTGTGACATGCTGATAACTTGATAAACAAATCAGATATTTGTCCCACTCCCTTTGCCCCCATTCATTTGAATTTATTTGTGTCTAATTTCCCTCCATAGGTTCAGTGACTTCCATATTCCCTACAAAAGATGGTCAGAAATGTGGCTTTAACATTTGATTTTTGGTGCTTTCTATTCCCTTAAATGAGATAAGACTTGTTTTTAACAGGAGTTAATGTGTTAAACACCAAATAAACTCATCTTCACAGAGCTAAATGTTGTTTAAGGTTAAAAATGTGGGATATTCACCCTTCCGTTCAGAAATATATAATCTACATGTGGATTATTTCCCTGTGTGTGTGAATCTCTTAAAGTTCTTTACTGGTTTAGAGTGAGCTGTGTGGAACTGAACTGTAAACTATATAAAATTGTAAAAGGGAAAACAGTGAGTAGACATCCTAAATTGCAACACTGCTCCTGTCAGATGGAGGCTGACTCCATAGTGTCTCTATCTGCAAAGTTTAAGCTTTCTGAGCCTTTGTGTTCAACAAAAACAATATTATTTCTTATTTGGAGTGTATCACTTGTAGGTACAAGGTTGGGACTTGGATTAGATGAGTTTCAATCTATTACTTTAGTGTTGTAGTTGTTGAAATTAGTTTAAATATAGTTGTCATTTTCATAACGGCCTAAAAAAGTCTGCAAATGGAATAAATTCCACCGTAGGTGACAGTTAATGTGTGATGTTACCAATGTAAATTCACACAAATGGGTTAGATGAGTTAAAAACGATTACTTTTGTGTTGTAGTTGTTGAAATTAGTTTGAATAGTAGTTCACATTTTCATAACGGCATAAAAAAGTCTGCAAATGGAAGAAATTCCACTGCAGGTGACAGTTAATGTGTGATGTTTCCAATGTAAATTCACACAAATTAGCTGAGTTTTCTTTTTTTAAAGTGTTGAGCTCTGTCTAAAACGTTGACAGCAGGCTCACAGATCTGAGCATTTGGTGGCAACACTGCACTGTCCACCAAATGTTCCAGAGTCTGTTGGTAGAAAAAGGCTCCCTCATCCTCCCCTCTTTGCCTTAATTCTTATTCCCACTCTCTCTCTGTGTGCGTGGAACTCAAAACGGAGACGTGTTATTACCAGGAGCAGCTGCAGCAGCAGCACCAGCAGAAGCAGCAGGCGTTTGAGGCGTTGGTGGGGGTGTTTCCCATCCTGTGGCGCGCGTGGAGGACACTGGCAGCTGCTTCCTGGTGAACCTGCATCTGTCTCTTGCGCATCTCCAGCCGCTCCGAGCCCATGGACTGCGGGGACGGAACCCACGGAGAAGGAAGCTTTTACGGTGACGCCGATTTGCATTAAGAGGGTGCATCACACACACAAACACACACACCACAGCTGAAGACATCAGGGATTAAAGATCTGACTGCAGATCTAGAAAGGCGAGAGCAAAAAAAAATAGCGAATACCTATTTGGCAAAGCGAAAAAAAAGCAAGCTCACACTCGTCCTAAAGTGGGCTCGATTGCTCTACATCCCAAGGAAAACCATTTCTTCTTGCGGAATGCAAAACTATTCCACGATTTCGACGTGAGGGGTCAACTTCTGTGCACGTCCGGGCACCCACATCCATCAGGAGAGCGTTGCGCGTTTTGGCTCGACGCGTCTCACCCCTTTTGGGAAGTCATTTGTGGTTTTTCCACCGGGTTTACTGTATGCAACAAAGCTCTAATATGGCTAAAAAGACCCCCCCCACCCCCCACAACACCACCCCACCTCTCTGTCTGTGAGGGATGAGCAGAAATGACAGCGACGAGGCGTCACTCTGCGTCCGCAGCATCCATCAGTTGCATCCTCGGGAGGATACGCACGCGTGATGGTAGATGGAAGAAAAAAAAAAGCACTCACCCCCCCCCAAAAGCAAGCACAAGCAGCCATTTATAGAAAACACAATGGCATGATTTGATCGGAGGGGGGGGCCGATACATTCATGTACTGTCAATCTTTTTTTTTGCAAATCTTCAAATCTCGACTTTAATTAGCGACATTTTCACCAAATCACGCCGGAGTTTATTGCAGATTACAACCCGGACGAATGAGTGGCAATGAATTGTGATATTAGAGGAAGCTGGAAATTCCAAGATGAAGATGCTCCAGCCTCCCTGGCTCCCTGTATTACCCGTAGTAGTATTTTTTTTCTCTCTCTCTCTCGCAAAGACAGCTAAACACGACCGTCTAATCGCGATTTACAAATAGCTCCACCGTAAGGGGAAAAAATCTAATGTCAACGTGTACTCACTGTGTCACCATGAATGCCAGAATCCAGGTGATTTTTCAGCCCCGATCACATCCGTCTGCCCCGACTTGACACAAACCAGTTGGTTTTCCTCTACGCGCATGCGTCTCCTGCAAGTGTGAAAAGATTTTTCTGCGCCCATGAATTGACGGCCAGGACACAGTGTGCGCTGTCTGTTACAGCCATGGCTTCCTCTGCACAGGCTGGGGCTGGCAGGCTGTTGCACGACAGATAATACATTATTTCTGTTTATTATATAACGCTCATCGTCTCCAGATTTGAGCACTTGGTTCCTGCTCCTTTTCAGCTCATGAACCCCCGTAAATGCTTTTGGTTTTTCTCCCGTACGAGGTTAATGTGTGTAGCTGATAATCTGTCAGTATCTCGAGCTGTCGCATTTCCCCTCCAAACACTGATAAATTCATCACGCCCTGAATTATTCAGTCAAACATCTGGAAAAGAGCTCCTGCATCTTCTCAAGTCCCGGAGAGGTGCAGTACGGATCTTGACCACCAGAGGGCAGTAGAGGCACACCAAAAACGGGGCCTAAACCAACTGGGGGAAGTCAGACATTAGTGCAGAGCACTTTAGGAGAACTAAACCTCCATTAGGCAAACAGAAACTGAATCAATTGCTTCTCATAACCTCCAAGACTCATCTGGAGATGAAGTAAAACAGGCGGGATTGTTGTAATAACGTCACAAGCTTCAGTACAAGCCATCAATCACAATAAGTCTGATGTTCTTATTGCTAGAATGCTGAAAATGGGATGCAATAAGCTAAAAATGAGCAACAATATTATCAACAAAGGGTTCCCTCAGCTCATTAGGGGCACCCTTCAGTATTACAGCACTCCGGATAATCTGATCAGAACAGGATCTGCACATTTCGCTGCAGCACAACTCCACACAAACTTTCAGAAGAGCAGATCCAATCAATGCGACCGCCCCTCTCCGATCCCCTTTCCTGCGCAGAAACATCTCGCGGAATGCGATTATTCACTTCAGCTGAAATGGCAAATATGTTAAATGGAGACGGAGGACGAGGAGACGCGTCCACCCTCCATCACTTTGTGACTCAGCTGTAAAGCAATTCGATACGGAGAAAAGTCTCCCCCTCTAAACCTCGCAGTAAATCAGGCGTCTTTTAGCCGTGGTAATCTTTGAGAGGAATTGGCTCTTTAATAGACTGGGCTCTCTGGTGGGATAACTATCACTGTGATCTACAGCTGGAACACATAAGCACACGTGTGACTCCGTTTTTTCTTTTAAACATGGATGTAAGCACCTATAAACTGAGAGCAAGTCCAGTTCTGCCGCATGACTATCGTTTTATAAATTCAATATGGTGCCAGTTTGAGAGCCTGCAGACTTATGAAATGCATTGAGTAAATCACCCCCCCCTTCCCCCCAATCCACCCCCCTAAAAATCTGTCTTCAGAGGCAGTTCCCCACAGAGCGAACACACAAAAATGTTCAGATGTTCAGCTGTAGTCACTCTGAATATTATCTTTATTTTTCCCCACTCTGCAGCTTGATTCATTAGAAGTCATTATTCCTACACTGGCAGCCAGGAAAAAGAAAAAAATCTTTAAACAAGTTGAGACACTAAATGAATTATCATTCACTTATTTTATGCTTTGTAATTCGAATTGGAGCGAGTTTATCTCGGCGCTACAGAGCTTTTCGCTGTAATGGCTTCACTCCTTTCTTTTTATCTGTCTGGTTTACAGCTCGGTTGGCCACTGTTGCCGGGTGGGATGGAGGAAGAAAAAGCCCCGCGGGGCTCTGGCCTACAACGTGGATTTGAAGGGTGAGGCCACCCGGATGTGTCCGGAGGTAAATCACATCCACTACCGGTAGAGTTGAGATGATTTAGGTATTTTAACTGAATATAACAAAGATTTGTAGTAATATAATGAAGATATTGGACTATCATGAATGCCTTACCATAAACATAACTTGAACAGTGCATTTGCTGAAAATCCATCTAATTTTAAATACCCATTTAGTAACTTTATTTGATTCAGTGTTGATATTTCCATATTTTTTCATTAAGCTTTATTAACCCTTTAAAGCCTGATCCAATAAAAATAGGAAGAATATTGTATTTTTTTTGTCTGAAGTCTTTCTTTGGCCCCTCAACAACATATGAAGAAAAAAAAACAGAAACTATTTTGATCAAATTAGCGTGCAATAAGTCGAAAATATATTTTGTTGTAGTCTTCTACTGGCTGTTATCAGGTATATCTGAATGTGTACAACAGGGGTTTGAGCAAAGCTTTTACCACTGAATGATGCAAAAAGTCTCAGATGCAAAAGACTTCAGAAACCGTATGTATCAAATATGATGCATTTGGCATTATAGGGTTAAGTTTAGAGTTCATGTTGGTTGGTCACTTGTTGTTATATTGTGTTTCAAAGCTCCAAAGCTTAGCTAGTTCCCATCCAGTTTGTTTCCTATTGTTTGTATTTCTCCTTATGTTTGATACCTTGACTTAGAGGCACCCTTTAATTGTGTTTTTCAAAAATCAAATTAATCATTTTCTTCCACCTGTCTGCCTCCAGAGAGGAGTCAGCAGTCAAATCTGCAAGCTCTGCACGTTTTCACAACCCCACAACTCATTTGTGAGCCATTTCAAACGAATGAATATCTATATTCAATGGAGCGTTTTGATTTGACGTATTTGTTTCTGGAGCCAGAGGTAAATTAATATGGTTCAAGAACTTTGCTCAGAGCCCAATGCAGCAAATGGTGGACCAGACTAGAAACTGTGAGCTCTCTACCGAGTCTCTAAAACTCATTTACATTAGTTCTCATTAGTTCAAGAAAAGAAGAAGAACCCTGTGATTTTCTCTTGAGTACTAGATGGGCAATTTTTTTTTTTACTCTGAGCTGTTGCCAGGCAACCGGTGGTCCTTATTTAGAGTTACGGCTTCCAGTTCCGGTACATCTGCAGAGGCCACGTAGTTTTTGTCCACTTGGGGGCAACAGATCAAGTTGTAAACTTTCTCATTTACCGTCAGCTGAATGAAAAAAAAAAAGTTTTTTTTTATATTTGCAGGCTTCGACTGCACATTTGTGAATTTTTCAAATGCTTTGTGGGTAATGGTTTATATTTTGAAATATGAGAAATATTGAATTCTCTTTCTGCTGTAAGTTTAAGGCACATGAGGGATATAAAATGCACTATTATCCACATAAGTCTGTCATCGAGGAGAATATGATCTTCCACAACGTTTGTATTGAAAGAGTGAATTCAATTGTGAACCCCTTTTAATTTATTAAGCGAAGGGAAATGTGAAGCTTTTTAAATTTGCAAATGTACCCACATGTTTTCATATTAAAAGATCTAAAGAGCTGCAGGGAATGGAAGCCTGAGCCTTTGAGAAAATATGGAAATGTAAAAACTTGCCAAATTATCTAAATACAAATATTATGTTTTTGATAAAAAATACATGTTTATCAATATTTACATGCAGCCTGGTGGTTAAGTTTTACTAAAAGCATTTCTAATCAGTATTTTTTTAGCCTCCAATCCTATGTAAGAAGTGCTATAAATATGAATTATACATATGAGCCATCCTCTGTAAACAAGGCTCTGCCCTGACTAATAATCATCTCACGGTTTTGGATTTGGAAAAAGTTTCACCTTTCAAAATACTTATTTCTATAAATGTCACATTAAAACACCTCATCAAATTTCATTCGGATGAAACGTCTGTGCATGCACCAGGTTTTTGTCTTTTAAATTTGGGCCTAGGGTGTATGACCTAATCAAATATGACTAAGTATGTAATTGGATGGATGGGACACATTCCCCCCCGGCTCCACCATCTTTTGTACCTTTTACAACTTAAAAATCCTCTGTGCTGATTATTAATGTTGAAAGGAGAGTCACTCAAAGTGGACACACATTTCTTTTTATTTCACTAGTTGTTGGACCCTTTTTCTTTTCAACTGGCCTCACTTTTGACCCTTTTCTTCTTGGAGCAGTGGTCAGATTAACATTAGATTAAGATTACACTCTGGATTTGACTGCTGTAAAATGATTTCAAATGAACCCAGTAAATTAAATAAACAGATCAACTCAAGATCTGTGGCGATACATTTTTCTAATTTAACTTTCAGTGCATGATTAGATGCACACTATCAGTGTTTTGCAGCTGATTTCCACTTTACCCCACAGACGTTTCATTCTACTGGAAACGGCTTTGCGATGAGGGGAGAGGGAGAGATCAGAGCTACTTAAGGCCAGAAGTCCTCAGATGTCCCAAAGCTCAACAATGGCGTGTGATTATTCAGCAGTTTCTTCATGATGAAATGAGCCCCTTCATTCGCTTTCCTCTGCTCTGGTCACAGATGTCCACGGCCATTTGGTTTGTTCTTTGTAGAAAGCGATTCTTTGTGACTTTGTGCACTAAATTGATTGCGTTGCATCAGGGAGGTGGAACGAAAATAGAGAATGTTGCTTTGCAGTGGCGCATTAGACTTTTATTTAAAAAAAAACAAAACAACACAACAAAAAAACCCCACCTAATTTAATAGTTTAACCCCTAAAATATAAAAAAATCCCAATTTTGATTAAAAGTAAATGAAAATAATAATAGTGGAGAAATTTGGCTTATAAAACTTCATTTAAATTAAAAAAAAGCTGTAAGTTGTGTCTTTTGACAACCACATAAACCTGGAAAGAATTGAATCATTCAAACTTAAGGAGAAAAACAAAGTTATATGGGGATGTCTGCATCTGAGTGACTTTATGTTTTATCATTGAAATATTTTTGCCATTTATGTTAATTACCCTTGAATTAAAGAGGGAAACTGTTGCCCCTATAGGTTTAGTCAGTACTTAACCCATATTCCACTCACTGTAGTCATTGATTAAGACGACATAAAACTGATTTGCTTTACCGTTTTATTGTTGAGATTATGACAGAGCTCATAACATTTTTTCTCTCTGGACTTCCTCCTCATTGCCTCAGTCTTTACTCATGTATTATACATTCAGACTCGTTCAGGCTCAGACAGAAAGAATAATAGAAACCCCCTTGATGTAGCATAAAGCCATCCAGGACAATAGCCCTGCAGTCAGAGTGCATTTCCAGTGGGAGACACTGTAACGAGAGGCCCAGAGAGCAGGTAATGGCATGAGAGGGGGCGAGGTGCTCCATATTCACGCCTCATTCAATCCTAGCATGCAACAGTCCACAGAAAGTGTAAAGGGAAACACACAGATAACAGCAAAAATAAATAAGCGACTGTATTTAACATGAAAAAATG